GGATGCCAGACAGCTGGCCGGGAGAAGAGTAGCCAGACCTCTCTCTCTCCTCACCTGTGTTTCCTGCTAATACCTCCCAATGTCCAGCCCCAGACAGAAACCAGAGGACAAGGACACTGTGACCCTAAGGGACAGCCCCCAGGGTACAGAGGTGGCTGGAGGTGGGGAGTGGAGGTCCCAGAGGGAGCCCAAGGAGAAAAGCCAGCACATAGGAGACGCATCATCGCTTCCAAAAATCGCCCTGCACGTAGTAAGTGTCCAAGAAATGCTGGTGTCTGAGGACCCTCTGCAGGCATAGCTGTTCCAAGTTCAGTGTCTCCCTAAGCGTCTGTGGGTGTGGCGTCCTGACTGCTTTCACAACAGCATCTTGTTGTTTGCAATTGGAAACATCTCACGCCAAAGCGAGTTTTCCCAGAGGTCACGTTGAAAATGAAATCACAGCGCAGAGGCAACATCGAGGAGCGGCCCTGAGTTGCAGGAGCTGGGGTGGGGCAGGTGCTTGAATGGAGAGTCAGACGCACCCGAGACACAGAACCGACAGGGGTCAGCAGCAATGTGGGATGTGAAGAGGTAATTATGTGGCAGTGAGATTGAGGACATTAGGAAGGACACTGCTGTTTGAACCACCGCCTCTCAACAAGGCAGCGAGGAGGGAAAACCCTCTGGCTTTGTCATTAGGGTCGTAGTTGCCATAACAACTTAGTATCTCTCTCCCGGAGCATCTACCTCGAGACTGTATTTTTAGCGTTCGCTGTGCCGAGTGTGTATTTTTCTTTATATAGCAGCTAATTTTTCAAATTGCTTATTCCCCCCGCCTCCCCCTAGATTTCCATTTTCATTCTCTCTGCAGGTGTGAGAGTCGCAGGGATAATTAGGGAAATGAGCAGGTGTGAGAGCCCATAATGAAAAATGTGTCGACGCCGTGACAGTATTTGCTTCAACAGGATGTGCTCTGGACCTGGGCACTCTATTGCCCTTGTCAAATGGTACATAAATCTCCGCAGGGCTCATAAATATCTGAAAAACCGTTGGCTGTGTTGGGTGTTTGGGGATGGTTTGACCAGGACGCATTCGTGTTGTGTAACACAAGTTGGCTCAGCAGACCCTGAATCCGGGGGTGAGTGGATGGACAAACAGCAGCTCACTTTGCCCAACAGAAACCCGCTTAGCAGGTTCTCGAGGGAAGTAAGCGATGGGTTCCCTTTAAAGAGCATCCTTGGACAGACTCAGACATCAGGAGGGCCCCGGCTGTCCTTTTGCTTCCCAGTGTGGCCACCTGCAGCTCCCAGCTTGGGGTTGGTTTTATGGCACAGCTAAGGCTCTGGGAGAGGCAGCACTTGACCAAGCTCTGCTTGTGCTGTGGGGAGAAGCCCACAGCCCTTCGTGAAGGTCCCAGGTGGAAGCCAACAGAAAAATGCTTAGGTTCAGAACAGAAGGGTCTTGGAAGGAAGCGCATCTTTGGCTGATGTTATGAGAAACGTTGTTGTCACACAACGAGTTACCGAGAATTGTCTGTCTTCCTTGTACCCTGTTGATTTCTGGGGAGGATGTAAAATTAACTGATGATAATGACCGTGTTTATAAAGAGCATCTAGTGGTGTGCAAGGGGCCACGAGGAGCAGGCCTTGCCATTGCTGCCCTCTGGGGAGTGAAGAGAAAAGTCTGGGTGAGAAGCTGAGCCTTGGCTGTCCCCAAGAAGGGCTGAGGGCTGAGTGAGCAAGAGGCTGACCTTGAACATGGTGTTTGAAGGTGACTCGCTGGAGCCTTGAGTGCAGAGGGGACTCCAAGTCAGGCCGGAAGCAGGGGCACCTGCTGGGCAAGTACCCACAGGCCTGACGCCACAGAGACCGGCAGCGGGGACACAGGAAGAGGTGAGCTGCAGAGCAGGGACCAGGAGAAGCCGCAGGACTCACGGATGCACTAAGAGTCATCGGGAGGGAGTGGAGAGGGCTTCACCTGGGAAGCTGAGGGATCTGGGTGCCCTCCTAGGTGGGCAGGCGGAAGCCCAGACCAAGAGGAAGAGCTTGGCATTGCCACCTGGTCTCCCTACGCTCCATGAACTCCGACTGTGCCCAGCAAGCCTCCAGGGCAGCAGCCCCCGAGAGGGAGTCGGAGGCAGACAAAGGGCACGGCAGGAACCAGCGTGGGCCGCTGTGCTGGGAGAGCTGGCATCAGTGCAATCAATTCTTGTTCTGTTTGCTCTGCTTGCTTAAGTTCTTTGCTTCTCCAGAGAAAACAAACAAGCAAGCAGTAAGGGGGAGAGGAGGGATGCGTGGCACCCGTCTCCCGACCGACTCCATGTCTGGGTGGCGCGTTCTCTGGCTGCCTCCCAGAGCTGCAGGGCGGGTGTCTGATAGGTTGTTTACTAAGAGGGGCCGAGAAAGCTGTCCAGGGTTTGGGGTCCCTGACTCCTACCTGTGGGTAAGGTGGAAGGGCAGGGTTTAGCCCTGACCATCACTAGTTCCCTGCGTGTGCTGGCGTGAGGTGGGCCTCAGTTCTCCCTGTTAAATGGGAGAGAGGAAATCAGTCTTAAGTCTTGCTGCTTCCAAAATCACTTCCCAGCCGTCTGCCTGTGTGAGCCCAGCCCTCAGAGGCCCTGTAGGTCTGGGCAGGCCTGGGGTCTGTCTGCGTGCTCAGCTGGCTCTCATGGCTCTGAGGGAGGTGGTGCCTGGCACAGCCCAGGGCCTGGGCAGGCGCTGTAGCCCCTGTGGCCAGGATGCCAGGTGGGTTTTTTGTTAGGCTTTGCCCAGCCAGCTGGGGTCTCGGGTGTTCCGCTCGCTGCTGGGCCTTTCCAGTTTGCCGCTGAAACCTGCGCTGATCTATTTGTTGCCTGGAGCTTCTGCGCTCAGATCAAATGTGCCCGTGAGCGAGCCCTTGGGATCCATCCTGGAGGAGGTGGACGCATTTGCAGGGCCCACGCCTTCTTGGAGTATGATGGGAGGTGGAGGGGCCCTCCCGGCCTCTCCCTCTGGGGGCCTCTGCTGGCTCTGGTTCTGGAATGTCCTGGGGCTTTGACAGCTCCGAGGCTTCTTGGGGCCCTGGGAGCCTTCAGTCTCTACTCACTCTGGCCATTCTGCTGTGGCTTTCAACCCAGGAGACCCTGGAGACTGGCCTCAAAGGATGGCGAGGAAAAACAAGGTGGCAAATGGGGGAGGCTAGGGCAGAGCATGGCCGCTGTCCTGGCCCAAGCCCTGCTCCCTGCAGGGCTGGGCTCTCAGAAATGTCTTTTTTTTTTTGTAGATGGAGTTAGACAGTGAGAGAGAGAGACAGAGAGAAAAGTCTTCCTTCCGTTGGTTCACCCCTCAAATGGCCGCTATGGCTGGAGCTACACCGATCTGAAGCCAGGAGCCAGGTGCTTCCTCCTGGTCTCCCGTGCGGGTGCAGGGCCCAAGCACTTGGGCCATCCTCCACTGCCCTCTTGGGCCACAGTAGAGAGCTGGACTGGAAGAGGAGCAACCAGGACTAGAACCCAGCACCCATATGGGATGCCGGTGCTGCAGGTGGAGGATTAACCAAGTGAGCCACGGTGCCGGCCCTAAGAAATGTGTCTTTCCACACTGGAACATCCAGGTTTGGACCAGTGGCGTTATGGGGTCGTATCACAGACGGGACTGGGAAGGTGAGGGTCTTACCAAGGTCTTGTGGCTCAGTCTGTCCCTGGGGTAGGCATCATGGACCCTCCCCCCAACTCCCACCCTGAACCTCTGGAACCTTCCAGTAAATTAGGCTGCGTGGTTGGTTATATGGACTTCCAGACTGATTAAGAGTGAGTATCCTGGAGTACCTGGGTGGCTTCCTCTCACCACGAGAGCCCTGGGAAGTTGAGGACTTTCTCTAGCTGGGAGGAGGAAACGTGGTACAGGGAAGACGATTCAAAGATGGGGAGGACTCACCTGCCAGTGCTCCGAGAGGTAGAGCCCACGTGCCGGGGAGGGCCAGGCCCCAGAAGCAGCATAGGCAGCGCACAGGACCCAGACTGGCCCCAGCTGACGGGCAGCACACACACTGCACCTGGCTCTGCGCCCGCCAGGGACTGAGTTGAGCCCCTGCCCCACACGCCTGGGAGAGGCTCCCTCCCCAGAGACTCCCCTGAGGCCCCAGTCCTGCTGGCACCTCGACTTGAGCCCGGTGTCCCCTGCCTCAGACGCCTAACTGCAGAGTTGTGGGGGACACGTAGGTGCCAGTTTAAACCACTGCCTGTGCCATTTGTCCCAGCACCAACAGAAAACCAGCACAGTCCCTGGCTCCCCAACTCCCAGCCGGAGGGCAGGCACTGCAGGGCTGTGCTGGGGCTCCAGTGAGAAGGCACAGGCAGGCAGGGAGTGAGCCCAGAGCCTCCGGGCCGGGGCTGCTCCCTGTGTGGGCATCCTGGGAGGCCAGGATGGCAGCCCTTGGGGTAACTCCGCCTTCTCTCCTGCGGTCCCACCAGATCACAGCCTCAGATGGGCTGGAGCCAGGTCCTGCCGGGCCATGGAGCCCCACCTCCGTGGAACTTTACTCCCCGGAACCCTGGGGACTCCAGGAATTCCTCATCCATGGTTCCTGAAACAGGATCTTGGCAGGTGGAGCGATGCTGTCTGATGCTGGGCCAGGGTGCTGGGCGATGCAGTGTGGACGGTGGGGGCGGGGGGAGGAGGGAAGGGCGGGCTTCGGCTTTGTTTGCTTTAGGACCTTGGGGAGTCTCTGCTTGGTCAGGTTCTCTACCTGCAAAATGAATGATGCAACAGATGGGCCCCCAGGTTTCCTCTCAAGACTGGAGCTCCTAGTCTCAGGGGAAGCAGGCGCCCAGCAGGGCCACACACTGGCCAGCCCTGGGGGGAGCCCAGAAGGGGAGGTAGGACACTGCCCATGGGTGGAAGGAGCTCCAACACCTGCCTCCCAGAGCCAGTAACCACAGGGTCTGCAGGGGGAAAGGGAGGGAGAGAGGAAGGGCGGGGCCGGGGCCCCTGTGCCCGCCCTGCGCCTGGGCGCGCCCCTGCCCGCCCTGGCCCAGCCCTCCCAGTCCCAGCCCAGCCTGGCGGGCCGGTCCCAAGCGCGCCGCACTGCCCTGTCTGGAGCCCCAGCCCGCGCAGCCTCTGCGCCCGCCGCCCGTCCTGTCCGGCGCTCCCGGTGACCTGCCCAGGGCGCGGGCCACAGTGGGCATGACCCGCCGTGGGGCCGCCGCGCCGGCGCCGGCCCTGGCGCTCCTGGCGGTGGCCCTGGCCTGGGTGGGAGCCCAGGGCGCAGCCCTCGAGGAGCCCGGCTACTACGCACAGGATGTCTTGACACGGGATCCCTACTACGCGCGGCCGGAGCCGGAGCTCCAGCCCTCCTCGCCGCCGCTGCCCGCAGGGGCCAGGGAGGAGGAGCGCGAGCCGCATCCGCCCGAACCCAGGCCGCCCAAGAGGGCGACCAAGCCCAAGAAAACTCCCAAGAGGGAGAAGCCGGCGCTGGAGACGCCGTCACCAGGCAAGTAGCTTTCGGCGCTGGGCAGGCGGAGGGGGCGCGGCTTCTCTGTCCCTGTGTCTGGGATGAGCGTGAGCCTGAGCGAGCCTCCCGGTTGTAGTCCCGAAGTCCCATAGTCGGGGCGCCCCCTTCCCTGGAGACCACGGCTGCACTTCCCCAGTGCATCTGCATCTCGGGGCGCTCCTGGAGCCACAGGCAGCCCCTTGGCGAGCTGGGCGGCCGGTGCCCTGGGCAAAGGCTCTTTCTACAGGACACCTCTCCCTTTGCTGCCTGCCTCTTCAGCCTTCACGCTTGGCGTCTCCTGGGCAGTGCATTTCCGATTTGGCCAGGGGATCGGGCTGGCCTGTTTTGGCAGGTGGCTCTGGGGGAAACTCTGCCAGCCAGCGGTGGCCCAGCCAGATCCCCTCCCGCCTGCTCTCAGTAGGTCGTTTGAATCTTTTGCCTGCTGGAAGATCGCTGCCCTGGGCGTGCCCACGTGGACTTGGCTGCAGGCGGCTTGGAAAGCCCAGTGGGGTTGCTCTCGGTCGCACACCCTTCGCACACCCTTGTTCTGTTTCTGCCAGCCTTGCCCTGGGGAAGTGGCTTCTGCTTGGTTTATTACACACCTTGTAAGTGAGGCTTTCTTTTAATGGTGCTTTGCCCGGATTGCAGGGGGCTGGGACCCCGGTTTTTCCAGGGAGGGGAGTGAGCAGGGTTGTGGCCGAATTCCCCAGCTGGGCAGTGGCCCTCCCTGAAACAAGGCCTGTGTGTGGCACTGTCACGGAGCTCCCAGCAAGGAAACAGTCTGTGGTCAAACAGCCAGTGCAGTGTGGCAGGAGGGGTGGAGGAGGGACGCGGGGCTCCTGAGAGGGGTCCCCCTCTGCACACACACAGCTCTGCTCTGTTGCAGTTTGTGGACATCTTGAACCAGCAGTTCAGTGGGTGGTGTGACCTGAGCAGCACCTTGTAGATGCTCCTCTGTTCCTGGGAGTTATGGAGAGTAAGAGGTAGCCCGGCCACCGCGGGTTGACAGCGGGAGCGTGGAGACGCTGTGTCGGTAGGCGGCACCGTGGCTGTGCCGGCAGCTCCGTGTGCCGTGGGCTCCTTTCCTTCTGTCCGTGGCTCTGGGTGCTGGGTGGTGTTTACGCTGAGGAAGAACCGAGGCTGAGACGATTCTACTTGCTCAAGGACTTGGGAGATTCGAAAGCCCCTCTCCTCTTGAACTTCTTGGTTTGGTCGCTTGAATCAAATCCACATGCAGTTTTGTTTTCCGTTTCTGCTCTGTGTTTAGCCTGGCATGGGGATGGTAGGGTGGGGTGGGTGGGGGACATGTGTGTTAGGTTCTGCAAGTCACTGGGGTGGCAGCAGGGGGCCCGGAGTGGGATTCTGAGCACAAGGTCCAGGGCCTGGGATTTGGCTCCTGATCGCAACTTCTTCCTCTGCAAACAGGGGACCAACGCCTGCCTCCTCCCTTTACCTTGTCAATATCTGCAAAAGCATCCTGCACCCTGGCGTCCTGGACTGTGCTATGCTCCGGCGAGCCCGTCCTTTATCCCGCGGGTCTCTACCAGGAAGCTGCAGCAGGGTGCCAGGTGCTGGGTGCGGGCGAGGGGCAGAGCAAGACAGCCTGGCCCCTGCCTCGTGAAGCCCCCGGAAGGGGGCCTTGGAGAAGGTCATGGCAGGTGTGTTGAGGGTTGTGCAGAAGCGTGGGGTGTTCAGGACATGAGTGGGCGGCTTGGCAGTGCTTCCCAGACAATGGCAGGTGAGTTGGCTTCATTATTCTGGGGGACTCTCACTAGCAGCCAGCCGTTCTTCCCAAGAAAGCTTGCTTTCCCTGCAGCAAACAGCGCAGAAAGTCACAGTCAGGTCTCCGCAGTGCCCACAGGCTGACGTGTCTGCGGATCCAGGGCTGCGATGGGGAGGTGACTCTCCTTGGTCTCCCTGGAGCACCAGCACGTGCCGGCCTCGGGATGAGGCCTCTGAAGGAGACAGAGGGGGCCTCCTGAGTTGCCAAGAAGGGCTGATGGCTTTTGGCAGAGCATCTTCTAGGCACAGATGTGCCGTGGAGTCAGGGGGCTGTGTGTTCCTGGTGAACAGGCTCTGCTCCTGCGGGAAACCGAAACTGCGAGGCTCAGAACCTGCACGGTTAGGGGTTTGGGGTAGAAGGGCATCGCTTCCCCGCCTGCTGCTGTCTTGGCCTCATTCCTAATGAATTGTGTGGGGCTTTGTAGACCTTCCCTCACCCCAGGATGATAAACCAGCTGTGATGTTTGTGGCACACTTTTCATTCCTGTTTGATTTTAAATTTTAATTGATAGAGTCATAAAGAGAAAGAGAGAGAGAGATCTCTCATTGGTGGCTCACTCCTCAAATGTCTGCAAAAGCTAGAGTGGGCCAGGCCAAAGCCAGGAGCCAGAACGTAATCAAGATCTCCCACGTAGGTGCTACGGACCCAAACACTTTTCTTTAAAAAAAATTTATTTATTTATTTGAAAGGCAGATAGACAATGAGCTCGATCCATCTTCCATCTGCTGGTTTATTCCCCAAATAGCCGCAGCAGCTGGGGCTGGGCTGATGTGAAGCCAGGAGCCAGGAGCTTTCTCTGGGTCTCCCACGTGGGTGCAGGGGCCCAAGGACTTGGGCCATCCTCTGCTGCTTTCCCAGGCAGTAGCAGAGAGCTGGATGGGAAGTGGAGCAGCTGGGACACGAACTCGTGCATATGTGGGATGCTGGCACCACAGGTGGAAGCTTAGCCTTCTGTGCCACAGCACTGGCCCCAAGGGACCCAAGTACTTGAGCCATCACCAGCTGCCCCCGGGGTACTCTCACTAGGAATCTGGTTCAGGGGAAGAGAAGCCAGGGCTTGATCCAGGCTCTCTGAGACGGGATGTGGGCCTCCCAAGGGGCTCTCAGTCACGGCCACATGCACCTTTCTCTTGGTGTTTGCTCAGCAGACCCTCCCTCTCTGGACCCCGAGCAGGAGAGGCTGGTATGTGAATGAGCTTCCTTAGGGAGTCACAGCCATTCTGTACAGTAGAGTGCAGGTTACTGTAGAGTGCAAGTTACTTTTCCCACTTCAAGTGGTGGCTTGACGTGGATGGTGACACGTGCAGTGAATGGTCATCTCTGCCTTGGGCTCTTTTGGACACAGGTGTCAGAGCGTGTTGGGAAGGTGCTTGCAGAGGGAGGCACCCTGGGGCTACAACCTGGGGTGTTGAATGTGAACTTCTGGACTCTGCTGCCGCCTTCAGCACTGGTATCCCACATGGGCACAGGTTTGAGTCTGGGCAACTCCACTTTGATCCAGCTCCCTGCTAATGCACCTGGGAAAGCAGTGGAAGATGACCCAAGTGTTTGGGCCCCTGCTCTCACAGGGGAGACCCAGAAGAAGCTCCTGGCTCCTGGCTTTGTCCTGACCCAGCCCTGGCTGTTGCAGCTATTTGGGGAGTGAACTAGAGGATGAAAGAGCTCGGTCTCTCTGCCTTTCAAAAAATAAACATAAATCTTAAAAAAAAAAAAAAAGGGCCAGCGCTGTGGCTCACTAGGCTAATCCTCCGCCTGCAGCGCCGGCACCCTGGGTTCTAGTCCTGGTCGGGGCACCAGATTCTGTCCTGGTTGCTCCTCTTCCAGTCCAGCTCTCTGCTGTGGCCCGGGAAGGCAGTGGAGGATGGCCCGGGTGCTTGGGCCCTGCACCCCATGGGAGACCAGGAGGAAGCACCTGGCTCCTGGCTTTGGATCGGTGCAGCGCTGGCCGAGGCGGCCATTTGGGGGGTGAACCAATGGAAGGAAGACTTTTCTCTGTCTCTCTCTCTCTCACTGTCTAACTCTGCCTGTAAAAAAAAAGGCTTTGGGGACTAAACTGAGTTTAGGGGGTGGCAGTCTTGCTCCCACAGCGTTGCTGTAGGGTGCTGAGCAGCACCCTGGGGCTTGACACGCTGAAAGCCAGTAGCACCCATTCCCTCGGCCCCAGGGGGCTGGCCGTCTGCTGTGTACAGAATCAGAATCAGGAAAGTGCCACTGGGACGATGCTGTGACCGTTCCTGACGCTGCCCACACATTTCACTGGTTTACACTTGCACTGGGCTGTGTGTTCCTGGCAGCTTCCCCACCACCTGTGTGGATTCCTGGAAGCACCAGCCGCTCGTGTCTGGGCGCAGAACCCGGAAACCTCCTCTGAGGCTCCAGAGAGATTTTAGCACCACGAAGGGCTCCCGTCCCCGCAAGGCTGCCTGTTCAGTGGATGGCCGGAATACTCTTCCTCACGTGGACCTGAGAGCTACTTCTCTGTAATTCCATTTATTCAGCTGTTTCTCTTTGTTTTCAACAGTTTCCAGATCCCCACAATTGGAAGGTTTTGGGGTGCAGGGACTGAATCCCAGGTCCCGTTTTCACTCTCCCAGAGTGAAGAATAAGACAAAGGGGCCATGTTTTGGGTATGCAGTGACTTTGGGGTGTACCGACTTTGCTGCCACCTCCCAGTGGATGACTTGGTTTGTGGCCATGGAGAAGTAAACCAGTGCCAATGACTCACCTGCCTTTCCCCTTCCACTTGGCTGTGGTTCTTCCTGGAAAGAAACCAAATAATCATCGGGACTCGAGTGAGTGATCGAAGGTTCCGTCTTCCTCCCCTTGCATTCCCGCGTGGCATCTGGCGGGCTCGGAGACGCAGTGGGTGCATCTGGGCTCCTGCGTGTTCCTTTGTTTGTTGCTTTCTTCACGCCCGGGGAGAGAAGGCGCCTCATGCCCAGAGTCCCCGGGCCTGGAATCTGCGGAGTGGGCAGCGAGCCACGTGTGTTTGGACATCTGTGCCCAGAATCCCCGAGTCTGTGTTTTGTGCTGGTTTGTGCCCTGGGATGGGGGAAGCAGGCAGAGAGCTGTTGTTTGTGCATACTGGGTTGCAGACAAAGCCCTTCTGTTGGGCACACAGTAGCATTTGCAGCTGGCGGGAAGGGCTCTGCGCCGTCTCTCTTTGGGCGCTCGGCAGCGTCTGGAGTTGGGTGGAGGGTCTTCTCCCGTGCCGTGCTGCACGGCTGCTGGGGAGACCGTGCTGGTCCCCATCCCCACGTGTCTTGAAAAACCACCACGGTGCGATGAGCGCAGCTCCGCAGTGAGCGACAATCCTTAGCATCAGGCGTGCGCTGCCTTCCGGTGAAAGCCGGGCGTGTGGTGCAGGTAAACACCACCCAGGCACGGGCGTCGTGCAGAAACTCCGCTGCGCTCTGAGGCCACACCTTCCTTTCCAGAATACTGTCCAACGTCAGCAGCTAATGCTGGCGCCTTCCCCCTTTCCCCGTGCCCAGGGTTCCAGAAACCAGGGCTTGTGCATGGAGTATAAAGGTAGGGGATACTCCCAGGTCTGGGAAGCCGGCTTGGGATGCTGCAGTTTTTAAAATTAGCTGTCGTGCTTCCCTGTGTGCCCCATGTGCCTGTGACTGCCCGATTTTGGGGCGGGGTGGGGGAGTGATGCCTTCAATGCAGAGACAAAGGCAGCTTGGCGCCTGAGTGTAGAATTTTGAGTGGAGCCCAAGCTGTCGGGTGTGGCTGTGCCCTCTGTGGCCCTCTCCGGTCCCTGCCACCTCAGCTGCTGCTGTGGGACCACGAAGCCCACAGAATTCGCGTTTCTTTGAATGGCTGCAGGGATGAGCTCATGACTATAACTGCTCGGCAGCCAACCAACTACTCATCGGGCATTGCGCGGTGGATGCCAGGGCACGGAACACCTTCACGTGTTAATTTCCGTCTCTGATGTCACAGATTTGTAGGGAGCACCTGGTTCTGTTTGTTCAGGATTCAGGGAGCTGAAGCCAGAGCCTGGCCCTGCTGCTCGTGGGCTTGTGTGACTGCTGGAAGCCTGGTGTGGGGCGGGGGCTGGGTGGAGCACTCGTCCCCGGACTGTGGCTTACTCGTCATATATTTTGTAAAATGGCTTTCTGCCAAGGGAGACTCAGCATCGTCCAAAGTTATGCTGGCCAAGGCCTTTGCGGCCCCCACTCAGGCATCATGGGTGGTTACAGCTGGGACATTTCTACATTTTTGCCCACAGAAATGAGACAGATGCGGGGCCATGGAGACAGACACAGAGGCAGCTGTGGACGTGTCTGGGTCTCTGGGTCAGTCTTACTCCCCCAGCCTTTATGAACATTTTGGTTTATTGGCGACTTTAATTTTGTGATTTGTTTTATGGGGGGAGGTTGACTGGGGAATCAGCTGAAATGACTTTGCTTATTGACTCCATCCATTGCCTGCTTTGGTTTTCCAACTTTAAAAAAACTTTTGACAGGCAGAGAATGAGAGAGAGTCAGACAGACAACTCCCATCCACCGGTTCACTCCCCAGCTGCCCACAGTGGCTGAAGATGGGAACACAGTTCACATCTCCCACACGGGCGGCAGGGACTGCGTTCCTGGAGCCATCCCTACTGCCTCCAGGGTCCAGGCAGCGGAACCAGGAGCAGGGCTGGGGCTTGAACCCAGCTACCCTGATACGGGAGGGGGGCTTCCCCACGGGGAAGGACTAGGCCAAGCACCTGCCCCTCAACTGATTTTCTCAAGTCCAAACTCAGTGACTTTCTGCACAGACCTGCTCTGCCTCCTGTTGGTGCGTTCCGTCACTCTCTGGCGCCTTCTCCTGTGCATCCATTCATTCGCCGATCACACACTGTTGTGCACCAGGCTCTCAGATGGCTGTGAGCAGAGCCAGATGCAGTCACATCACAGTGACGGTGTAATACGATCCAGGTGTGCAGCGCTGGGGTGGAGGCGGCGGAGGCCTCGTCCCGGGCTTCCCCTGCAGGTACGCCTGTGCCCCCTGCTGCAGGGGTCTTGGCAGCTCCTCTGGACAAAGGAGGCGGAGGTGGAGACGCTGCTGTGCGGGAGCAGCGGTTGGTTCTTTCTGGAGCACCTGTGACGTCTGTGGCAGTAAAGCCGTCTTTCTCGCTCTAGGTAAAAATGGCAACAAAAAGGGCTCGAGGACCAGGAGCTCTGAGAAGGCCGCCAGCGACGATCATGGTGTCCCCGTGGGCCGTGATGACGTCAGAGAGAGTAAGTGGGACCCTCGAGAACCACCCCTCCCCAGTTCCAGCCCCTGTCCAGAGAGGGCTGGGGGTGCAGGCCCCTGGTGCAGCCTAGTGCAGATAGATGTGCTGGGCAGGTGTGGGGCTGCGAGCGACTGCCACCTCTCGGCCATCCTGGGGGAAAACACTCACGGTGGCTCACGCTCCTACAGAGCCCAACTCACAGCGCACCGTCCTGGCTGGTTCTGCTCCACGCGTTCCTGCGTTTCCTGGAGCTCTGGACAGCCTTCTGCTCCCTCCCTGAAGACACGGGCGCCTGCTTCTTCTGGGGTCTCTTAGCTGCTATGCCACAGCTCAGGCCCCAGGTGTGCAGTTCCTATCTCCCAACCTGCCCCAGGGGTCTCTGGGGTCAGAGACCAAGTCTTCTGTTTCCAAAATATGCGATGTTAGCCCTGGAGTCTTGCAGTCCTGTGAAAATATCGTTCCTTTAATTACTTATTTTAGAATGTTGAAAACCATTGGTTCTAGACTCATCCATAACTCTGGCCCATTAACCACAGTTGTCATTATTATTAGCTATTACCATTAGTGTCGTGTCTTCATTATTCCACGGATCTCATTCCTGCTAATATTAGCAGGAGTCATTTATTAGCGCTTAGGTGGTTGCTAGGCACTTGGCCTTATATTTGTCGTCTCCCAGTGCCCCTCTGGGTTTCATATCATCATCATCATTATTACCACCCACGTCACAGATGAAGGGAACGAGGCGTGGTAATATGGGTAATTTGCCTATGGTCCTGCGGCTTGTAAGGAGCGAAACACAGATCCAAGGCACCATTTTCTATCCTAGCCCTTTTGCTTAGGAGCCCAATGCCCCGTTTGCCCCAATGCCCTGTTTGCAGCCACAGAGGCAGCCGTGAGTGCCGTAAACCGTGTCCCAGGGTTGACTGCTGCAAAGGGAATCGCAGTCCTCTCTGGCACAGGTAATGACGTGGGGTTGTGTTTTTAACTGCGACCTCGCCATCAGGGACATCACAGACTTGGTCGAGTGTGCATCTGAAACAAAACTGGCGCTGAGATCTGCAGCCTCTCCGCTACCAGCTGGGAGGGTCGTCCATCTCCCAGGGTGGGGGTGGGGGGGCGTGGCCCGCTCCCCTGCCTGCTGGGGGCCAGGGGCTCAGTGTATTATTAGGAGGATCTCTTGAGTCCGTGGTTCATGCCAGAGCTGAGCTTCTGCTGGTCGCGCTGACTCTGTGGACCTCTGGGGTCTCCGCTAACCGGGTGGTGACAGGAGCCCCACCTGACGCAGGTCCTGGACATGGGCCCTTTGTCCCTTGCTCACGTGGGCTGCTAAGCCCCAGCTGATTCTTGAAGGACAAATGCCACAGGGCTGCCCAGCTGGCAGTGCCGGCCTCACCCGCCATCGAGTCTGGGCCTGCAGGTCACTTCATTCTGAAATGTATGTTAGAAGTGTACTTTTCATTGCCAGAATTGTCTTTAAATTTTAGGAGATGTTTACAGAAAGATTTTTGAAGGTGCATTTCTTTATACACATATAGACCACGCATACATACACACACTACACATATACACACCACACATACGCACACATACACACACCACACATACACACACACCACACATACACACACCGTGCATATACACACATATCACACATACACACACCACACACCACACATGCACACCACACACACATACACCATACACACCACACACACACTGTACACACCACACATACACATACCACACATATACATACACACCGCACACACACCACACACACACACACACACACACCATGCATACATACACACCACACATGTGTGTGTTGATGCTGAACTTTCTGCCATGGATGCCCCTACTTCTTCCTGACTCTCGGACGTCCCCCGACCTGGCCTCACAGCTCCGCCGGGCTGCAGCCGTCAAGGCTCTGACCCACTGGATGCCTTTGATATGATTTCAGCCACTAAAAGTTCTTGTCTTAAAAGAAATAGAAGAGGGCAGGGGAGACAGTACTGTGGCACAGCGGGTTAAAGCCCCGGCCTGCAATGCCAGCATCCCATATGGGCACAGGTTCGAGTCCCAGCTGCTCCACTTCCAATCCAGCTCCCTGCTAATGCACCTGGGAAAGAAGCAGAGGATGGCCCCAGTCCTTGGGCCCCCGCACACACATGAGAGACCTGGAAGAAGCTCCTGGCTCCTGGCTTCCGATCAGCTCAGCTCCAGCTCAGCCATCTGGGGAGTGAACTAGTGGATGGAAGACCTCTCTCTCTCTCTGTCTCTGTCTCTACCTCTCTCTGTAACTCTGTTTTTCAAATGCATAAAATAAATCTTTTTAAAATATGACATAGAAGGGCAGAGGACAGATATGGGAGGTTTGGGACAGTGATGGCCATGGAGGGTACACCTGGGGCCTGCAGAAATGAGGAGCCTGGAGTAGGCGTGGTGCTGAGCACAGGAGGCGGCAGGTGCATGGTGGGAAATTCTCGGGACCTGGAGTCCATCTTCTCTCAGCCTGGACGCTCCCAGAACGGAGGGTAGCAGAGAGGTCAGCTCCATCTGTCAGGGTGCAGATGTCAGCCCCTTGTGGTCAGAGTCGTGGGCAATACAGATGCCAGCCACACGGAGGCATGGGAGTGGGTGGCCTTGAAGGCTCATCTTGGGTGTGGACCTCCCCCTGGGGGATGTCCTCTCTGAGGAGTGGATGCCCAGCTGTCGCTGTGATGAGGGGGCAGTTGCATCCCGACTTCTGGGGATTGTTCTACAGTGGGCCGTGGTTGTGGGCCAGTGCTTCATCTCTCCCATGGCCACACCCTTGGCCATGTAGCTTTTCAGTTCCCTTCTTGAAAGATGAGAGTCACTGGACTTTGGCTGGACCGCTCCTGTGCCTTGTTTAGGCAAACAGAAGAGTGAGACGTGACCATGTGCCAGAAGAGTGAGAAGTGGCCACATGCCAGTGCTGAGCCAAGGGCTCCGGGGCCTCTGCTTGTTCCCAGTGGCATCTGGGCCGCGGGTCCAAGTGATGGGTGGCCCAACCCGCAGCCTAGGGCCGCCCCGCTGAGTCCCGCGGATCTCCAGACACCCAGGGGAGAAGAGCTTCGTGTGAGCCGTGCTGTCTGTGCTGGTTTGTGGCACAGCGATAGAGATGAATAAATACTAGGGCACATCGAAACGTCCAAAGTTCATGGGCGGATTGGCTACGTTCATTTTGGTTCAAAGATTTTTTCATCCCCTGCATTTTCATGATGCTCGCTTGCGGCGACCTCTGCGAAGCGCCCTTGTGTCCTCCCTTTTTAAAAGCTTGCGCTGTGTCCTGTCCATCAGATGAGCCGCTGTTTGTTTGGCGCCCAGAAGATGGGCTCTCAGCTGGTTTCAATCTTTCGCAGCCAGGAGCAGTGTGGGGTGAAGTTCCCGAGTGCCCGCGTCACTGGGCGTCGGTCACAGAGCGATTCCACACCTGGAGCTTCCTACCAGGATCCAGTCTGTTGCTGGCTTCTGCTGCCCTCTTTTCCAGTTGGATGGGAACTGGTTTTCCATACGCGTCCCCTGCTGTAAGTCTCCCAAGGGGACTGCGCGAGCATCTGAACTGAGACTTGCTGACAAGCCACCGGCTCCTGCTCTGGACTGGCTACCATACCCACTGCAAAGTGGGGAGTGCGTCCCCTTCGTGGTGCACCGTGAGACAGCACGGTGTCTGCAGAGCGGGGCGCACAGCACATGGCTATCTGCACACCACCGCTGTGGTTTTGATTCTCTGTCTCAGGATTTTATGTCTTAGGATAAGGATTGGAAAACTTTTAAAGGATCAGGTCGTAAATATTTTATGCTTTATTGGCCAAGAGGCAAGATCGAGGCTGTTATGTAAGGACTTATATAACCATTTAAAACGTAACCCTGAAGACGACAAACAAAACCCACTCTTAGGGGCCATGCAAACGCAGGGCCTGGGTTGGCTTTGGCCCTCGTTCAGGCCAGGCCCTGCCCGGCACCTTCCGTGTTCTGCAAGTCTACTTCCAGGAAGCCTTCCCTGGTCACTGCCGTCACTTTCCTGGGCCTCTCTGCTCGTAGGCCCCGCACTCTGCAGTGGTCTCTGTGCCTGGCCTGGTTCTGATGGGCTGTCAATACCCAGGAGCTGGGCCCTGCGCGAGCCCCGTGTCAGCAGCAGGTTTGCTAAGAGTGGTGTTTCCCAAGCACTTGCTCTGTGCCAGGGCTAGTATTCTGGTGTCACAACAGGTGTTCCCAGTAGGTCCAGGAGGGAGTCAGTCCAGTGTGTGTGGGGGGGTCTGAAGGGGGCTGCCTTGGACAAGAGAGACTGAGGTTGGCTCGGAGGCTTCCCGGAACCCTGGGAGAGGCTGGTATCTGCCTGAAGCCAGCGCGTCTGAGACACGCGGGGCCCCTGCCAGTGCCCCTCAGTGCACAGGGGCTGCCTCGCCCACCTCATTGGTCAGATGGGAGTTCAGAAAGGTCAAGGAGGGGGCAGTAGGTTTTATGCTTGTGCCAGCATCCCATATGTGTGCCGGTTCAACTCCCGGCTGCTCCACTTCCAACCCAGCTCTCTGCTATGGCCTGGGAAAGCAGTAGAAGATGGCCCAAGTCCTTGGGCCTCTGCACCTGCATAAGAGACCTGGAGGAAGCTCCTGGCTCCTGGCTTCGGATTGGCTAGCTGGTGGGTTTACAGGCAACAATGTGAGCGAAGGCTGAGGGAGACTGAGTCTGTCCCTGGCAGTGCCCTCAGGGTCCTGGAGAGTCCCGGCTCCATTTCCAGCAGGTGACCACAGCCAGCCACAAGGCCCTGAGGGGTGAACTCATTGGCATTAGCCAGATTGCTCCCGGGTCACCGCCCTTTTACAGTGGTCTTCGGGACTTGACTCTGCTAACAAGGGAGGGGGCTGTCCTTGCGCCTCCTGGGATGGCTTAGGGAAGTCAGGGCTGGGGGTTGGTACTGGCCCCTGAGCCAGAGTCCACCTTCTATGCTAGGTTCTCAGCATGCCTGTAACTCCCAGGTCTCAAAGACCCCCGGTGTCAAGGCGGGGGCACTTGGAGTGGTCCAGGAGCTGATGTGCACGCGAGGCACTTGATGGTGGTGATAATGATGATGGGGAGCAGTCGACACACACCAGGGAGCCTCTGTCCATCTGTGCGGTGCAGGGTGTGCTAGCAAGGGACGGGTCTGATGGTGAGCATGCGTGTGTGTGCATGCGTGTGTGTGTGTGCATGTGTGTGTGCATGCGTGTGTGTGCATGCGTGTGTGCATCTGTTGGGATAGAACAACACAGGGACCCATCAGCACCCCCTGGGGAGTGGAGCACCTGGGAGACAGTGCCCTGCTTGCCCGGTCTTCCCAGAGTGACCGTCACTCTCCTCTCCTGCCCATTGTGACACAGCTCAGACCCTAATTAATCTTTCCTCAAGGCTGCTTTTTACTCCTCTCCCTGTGTCCGGCTCGCCCTGCGCCTCTCAGGACGAGAGCCCTTTTCTTTCCAGAAGCAGTGGAAACTTGGCTGGCTGGGGAAGCTGTGTGCTGGTGGGAGGGCACACAGCCTGTGTCATGGCTGCTGGCTGCGATTTCGGCAGGACGTGGCGAGGGGCAGAGAGCTCTGAGCAGGTGACCAAGCCTGCTTCAAGCCTGGCCATTATCTCCTCATTGACATTCCAACACAAATGCCGTGAGTCCAACCACGATTTCTTCAACTTTCTGATGAGGAATACTTAAATTCAGCTTTGAAACATTGTTTCCTTCCCCTCCATTGCAATGGTCATCGGTGTAGCAACACCCATCTTCCTTGGCCGTGTCTTCTGCAGGGTGGACAGAATGCTCAGTGGTTGGGAGGTAGTCTGGTGATTGACAGGTCCCTGGACGGGGATCAGAGACTTCTTTGAGAGTTTGAAACCGAAGGTGTTCTAACTCCTTGTTCTGACATTGTGTTGCTTTCGAAGTTCTCGGGTGCCTGTATGTCTGTGCGCTTTTGGTGGTCAGCCAGCAGCTGTCACCCAGGGTCCACGGTTATGGTGGGAGGGAGGGACACCATTTGCAGCGCGTGCTTGTCTGAACATGCTCTTAATTACCTTGACATCCGTAACAGTTTAGCTGGTGATGGGTTCCAGATTTCAGTTCCTGTTCCCTGGCTCCCTGGACGTGTGAGCAGCCAGTGAGACGTCTCCTGCTCATCTGTGTGTTCTCTTGTGGGAGCTGCAGCCGCAGGCAAGCCAGGACCTGGCGCTGGGGCAGTGTACTTTGTCTCCATCTCTGCCTTGCTGCCCTGCTGGGTTTCAGGTTGTGAAGACGTGGAGGGTCCCGGAAGCCTGTCCATCTGTGCTGGGGGTTGGGGGGCTGTTTGGCTGCTGTGGCCCCAGAAAAGCTGCCTTTGGGGTCCTATACAGCCCGGGGACTGAAGTTCTTGGGGACAGGGGCTGGTGCTTTGCTGATGCTCTTCTTCTCTGGCCTTTGCCAGTGCAGGTGTGGCCGGAACAGGGATGGCCCTGGGCCCCTTTGAAAGCCTCTGCAGCCCTGGGGACCTCAGGTGGCGGAGGGTGCTTTGGTGACACAGACCCCTGGCTCGCCCATTCGCCAGTGAGGCTTCCAGACTGCGCTGAGTGTTGAGTTTCTTGTCTGCAGAGTGGCGGAGCAGGCTTAGCCGTCCTGGGCCATTCTCTTCAGTGCAGAGTTTTCTCCCCTTGACTGTGAGCCCAAGGGGAGGAGCTTCCCATTTTGCTCACTTGGGCCGTTCCAGGGACTTGCTGTGGATCCTTAGCTTGATGTTCTCAGGGTAGAAAGAGGAGGGAAATGAGCCCGGATGACAAACGCTGAAGTTTATCAGCTGAACGTTTGATGCAGAGAATATTTCAGTACTCTGCAGTTTGAATTAATTTAGAATCTTTGATGCAAAAGATAATTTTCCTGGCCCTCAGTCTAGGAAGATCCTTTTTGGAAACATGGACATTGCTTTGTCAAACCTTCAGTCGAAGTATGAATGTGGGCCTGGAGCTTCTGCCTGCTCATTTTTGCATCAAGGGCTAGAGTTTGCATTCCAGCTACTTTATGCCTGTGCATTATACAATGTCTTAAAATGTGATCTGGGGAAGGCGAGCACCTCCCAGCTGGTTCAGCAGGTAATACTGTCTGAGCCCTGCTAGGTCCTGAACTGTAGAACCTGGGGCCCCAGGTGAGGACTGCGAGCACTTTTGCAAAATGTGTGGATGGTGTTGGGAGCAGGGTGAGGCAGTGGGAAGCAGGTGCGTGGGGGAGGAAGCTGAGGGGGCTCCCGGGGGGGGGGGGAAGAGGGTGTTCAGTGGTTAAGATGCCCACATCCTAATCAGAGTCCTTGGTTAATTCCCCTTCTGATAAATGCAGACCCTGGGGGTAGCAGGGATGGCTCAAGTGACTGGGTTGCTGCCACCCATGTGGGGAGACCTGGGCTGGGTTCCTGTCTCCTGGCTTCAGCCCCAGCCCAGCCCCAGCCATTGTGGGCATTTGGGGAGTGAATCAGTGGGAGGGAACTGGGCTCCCCACCCCAGCCATGATGCAGCTTCCGGGAGCCAGTGAGGCTTCCTGGGCCTGCTTGGCATCAGTGGGTTAATGTCCAAGTGAGCTTGCAAGTGGTGTCTTGTGTTTAGGCTTGGTGCAGGTGTGGCAGGTATGTGGTGGGTGTGTGGTGGGTGTGTGGTGGGTGTGTGGTGGGGGTATGGTAGGTGTGTGGTGGTGTGTGGTGGAGGTGTGGTGGGTGTGGGGATGTGGGGGTGTGGTGTGGGTGTGACAGGTGTGCCTGGACGGTGCCTGTGACGTCTTGGGTGACACTCGGTCTGGAGCATTACAGGGGCAGGCAGGGGCTCTCCGGGGAGTGAGGGCTGGGACAGTCCTGTGTTGCAGGGGAGCCAGCTGTCCTGGGCAGAGGGGTGACAGGAAGGACCAGTCACAATGCACTGCCGGTGTGAGGGTGCAGGGACAGCTCTGTGCTACTGAGGATTCGAGGGGAGAAGCCACCGGGAGCAAACGGCAGGGCCCGGAGCAGAAGAGGTCGAGGTGTGGCGCTGGCCGTGGAGTGACGAGGGCCGCTGGGAGCAGAGGCAGGAGCCAGACGACAGAGGGCAGAAATCAGGAAAGGATGCCAAGCGTGCGGAGGAAGTGATGGAGGCAGAGTGGGCCTTCCAGGGCTTGGCGGGGGGAGGGGAAGCTGGGAGAAGCCCCAGTGCCCACTGGCAGCTCCACCAGCCAGCCGCCATCTCCTCCCCTCGCTCTGCCAGCAGCACCCTGGGGCCCGGTGGGCGGGTGGGGGCAGGGCGAGGCAGGTGCATTTGAGCCCACATGAGACCTTTGAGAGGGGCATGTGGGGTTGGGAAACTCCACGGGAACAAGTCCATTGCAGCACACAGCGCAGTGCTGACGGCCTCTCAGGACACGCGGGCTCTCCGGGCCCTGTCCCGCACCTGTCTGTCTTGCGCCTGTGCTGCACCTGCCTCGTACCTGTCCCGCAGAGAGCTTCCTGCTGTCCCTGCAGGCGTCCCCACCTACTTACCTCAGCCACTGCTGCACTTTTCATTTTCTTAAGATTTATTTATTTATTTGAAAGGTGGAGCTATAGAGTGAGAGAGAGAGAGAGGGAAAGAGAGAGAGAGAGAGAGAGGTCATCCAGCCACTGGGTCACTTCCCAATGGCTGCAATGGCCAGAGGTGGGCAGATCTGAAGCCAGGAGCCTGGAGCTTCTTCTGGGTTTCCCATGCAGAGCTGGCAATGTGGAGATGACAAGAGGCTATGCCCAAAACATGAGTGATCCCCAAACAGAACCCACTGCCAAGCCAGTGTGGTGTCAGGTGCCGGGGCCAGCAGGTGGCATCTCCCAGGATAGGCTGGGTGGCCCTGAGGACACTGGCACTGACGCCAGGCGGGCTGGGTGGGGCCTGGTGACAAGAAGAGCCACGGTCAGGAGAAATGGGGGCGGCGGTGAGAGCAAGGCGTGGGGGTGCTGCTCGGGGGCTGCTCGGAGGCTGGAGAACCGGAGCTGAGACCCGAGGGGCTGGAGAACCGGAGTCGGAGCTGAGACCAAGGGCCAGGTTGAAGGATACCCTGAGTCTGGCCTCCCCGGCCGGCAGTGCCCTGGCCCTCAGACCGTGCCCAAGTCCTGACCAGGGCCCCCAGGAGCACCACTGCCCACAGGGACTGAGGACCTGGAGTGGTGCGCAGCACCCAAGGGAGGGTGCGGTGGCCTGAAGTCAGGGTGGGGGGCTCAGGGGCCAGGCTCCCACTCCTCTTGGCTGGCGGGCTGGGGGCTCATCGCTGGGCTCGGGGCCATTGGACCCTGAGAACTCAGGGCGGGCTGCTGCTGTAACAGCGTTACCAGGCCCTGGGACGGGCGTGCTGGCTGGGTTGGCAGTGGGGTTTGTGAGTTGGTGATGTAGGAAGTGCCCTTGCTGGGTTGTCAGACTGTGGAAGCAGCTTTGATAGGAAGGAGGGGTCAGAGCCATGAGTCGGCCAACCTGGGAGCCCTGAGGGTGAACCCTGGCGAGGGAAGGGGATGGCAAGATGACTCCCCTCTGCAGTCAGCCCCCCCCCAGTTCTGAGTGCTCAGTGCACGGCCCCTCCCATTGCTGCAGGGGCCCCGATTGCCGCGTGCCAGGCTCCCTGTCTCAGGGGCCATGTGGGACATTGCTACTCTCAGTGTCACCGGAGCTACCCTGTCCTGCAGTGTCCAGTGGGCAGCAGCAGTGCCCAGCTCAGCCCTTCCACGCGCTCAGCATCGGCAGCTCCCACCACGCCCCATCCCGGAAGCCTCCCTGCAGATGTTGGGAAGGCCTCGTGGCTGTGCAGCCCCCTGTGCTGGCCTGGAGTGCCACCTCCGCTGTTCCCTGTGCCGTGGCCAGGCACGCCTTGGGCATCTCACGTAAGGTCTGGGACCTCGGTTTCCTCTATTTCTTTTTGTAATTTGCTTTTTTATTTAATTGAAAGGCAGAGCTACAGAGCAAGAGAGAAAGGGAGATCTTCCACCTGCCAGTTCACTCCCCTAAACGGCCCCAGCAGCCAGGGCTGTGCCAGGCTGAAGCTGGGAACTTCTTCCGGGTCTCCCACACGGGTGCAGGGCCCAAGGACCTGGGCCATCCTTCCACTGCTTTCTCAGGCCATTAGCAGGGAGCTGGATCGGAAGTGGAGGAGCTGGGACTCAAACCAGCGCCTGCACAGGCACAGCATCACAGGCAGTGGCTTAACCCACTGCGCCACAATGGCGGCCCCTCCGTTTCCTCTTTTGAGAACTCAGATCAAGGAAGTGCGGCCTTGAGTTCTTCCGTCCGCAGCTCCTGGACCGACTTTCTTCCCGGCTGCCTGCCGAGCACCTGGTGGTTGCTCCGTCTGCTCCTCTGAGCTCCTGAGGTGCCCCGGGGCCTCTGGGACACTTCGTCTCTGCAGCGCCCCATGAGACTGTCTAACTTTGCCTCGTTCTAGGGCCGGCACGGTGGCGCAGTCGGTTAAGCCTCTGCCTGTGCTGCTGGCATCCCGTATCAGAGGTGGTTTGAGTCCCAGCCGCTCCCTTCCGCACCAGCTCCCTGCTAATGTGCCTGGCAAGGCAGCGGAGGGTGGCCCAAGTACCTGGATCCCTGCACCCACGTGGGAGACCCGGATGGAGCTCCTGGCTCCTGGCTTTGTCCTGGCTTGGTGCTGATTGTCACGGCCATTTGGGGAGTGAACCAGCAGGTGAAAAGATCTCTCTCTGTCTCTCCCTCTTTCTGTCACTCTGCCTTTCAAATGAACAAATAAATCTTTATTTAGAAAAAGATCTTTGTCCCATTATGTTGGGGCTTTTCTGTGACTCCCGGGAGGCACAGGGTCTTCTGTGTCTTCTGTGGGGCTGTGTCTCACCCAGTCGGAATTGTGGAGGCGGCTGCCTCCTGTTGAGACGGCCCAGCCCCACAGCAGGGGCAGCCGGGGAGAAGGGCAGCCCAGGAGCAGGCGGCCTGGGTCCAGCCCCGGCTGCCTTGGTGCTCTATCCGCGGGACTGGCCGCTCGCCGAGGGCTGGCCCACACGCTGGCGTCTGATTCCCAGGACACACTGTTCAGCTCTTCTCGCAGTGATCAGCGTTGCCAGGAGTGGAAGGCGAAGCGGCTTTTCCACTCACGTTGCTGTGCCCGTTAGCGCACGCAGTGCGACAGCCGGAGTTCTGGTGCGTTTGCAGCGT